GGGCTGAGAGCTTTTCAGGGACGAACAACAGCAATGACAAGCCTATCACAGTGGGAGTGGGAGCTCGGGCTGGAAACTTGGTGGAGGAGATATTGGATGCTCAACAGCAGCAGCACCAGCACCAGCAGGAGCAACTTAGCAGCGAAACGACGCGGGAGACCTGGCAGCAGCAATTGCAGCAACGTGCAGCAGATAAAAGTGGCTCGAACTGCAGCAGGACCCCTCCTCCCCCCTCCTCCAAGGATGCTGCATTGATAGCTCTGGTGCACAAGTTGACAGGCCAAGCTTCTCCGGTTGATATGCCACTAGGAGCAGCAGCAGCAGCAGCGGCAGTGGCAGGAGCAGGATCCAACTCAGGCTAGCTGGCAAGTTGGGTCCAGGGAGGGGTACTACGCTCGATTCAACCGCATCGATCAATCCAGTGGGACGATCTACTGCTGGTGCTGGTGCACTCCTCCACACTTCGAAAAAGGCAAGCTTTCATCTCCGAGCGAGCCTTAACTACGCGGGTTGTGTTTACAGGTTCTTCCATTCCGTGTACTATATGTACCAGTAGATAAGTGGGGTCCGACGCGCTCTATAGCTGTGTGGATCACGACTGGGGGTGGCGGGCAAAGATTACAGGGCAAGGAAAGTAGAAAGTTAAAGCAACGACGGGGAAGTCTGGAGGAACAAGACTATCAAGGGGGGGCCTAGGTGACAAGGAAAAAAGCAAAGCTCCATGGAAGCGAGATTGCCGCTACATACACTTTACAACAATACCGCTGTTAAAAACGAGTGAGGGGCCGGGCAGGGTGGTGACATCGCAGATGTAGATAGATGGATGGATGGATGGATAGAGAGATACTTTAGAGAGTAGAGCAAGCACAGGAGACAGATATGTAACAACAAGAGGAGCAAGCACAGAACAGGAGGCGAGGATTTGATCAACTAATTTTGTGAGGGGTGGTGATGTTGAAGTTCTTAATTGGTGTGGCGAAATAACGAAAAAGAGAGGTACCTTTTTTCTCTTAATTCTCGTTTGTTTGGGTTGTGACATTGTTTGGGTTGTGACATAGCACTCAGTTTCTTGTCATTTTTGGACAAGTTGCCAAACAAACAGGCTGTCGTGTGTTTGTTGTTGCTGGCTGGCAGTGGTCACTCTCATCCCTCACTTAGATGAAAGAGAGAGAGAGAGAGAGCGCGCTGCCGTTTTGCTTGTTTCTTCTCTTTTTTTTTTCTCCGGTACTAAGTAACTCCTCCCGTTCCCAGAGATTTTTCTCTTCCACGTGTGCGTCAGCGTCGGTAACGATGATTTCTATTCAATCAATCTGATCTGATCGGGCGAAGAGCGAGGAAGGAACCTTCTGCTTCTTTCCCCCCAATCCATCGCTGTTGCCTTGCCTTGAAGTTATCAAAGACCCGCGAGATTTTCTTTGCCTGCTCTAATGTAACCGCTGGTTCCCTCTGCCTTGATTTCTTCTCTTCTCTGCCTGGGCCTGTGCCTGCCTGCCTCGTATTTACAGCCGAAAGTTTTTTAGGTGGGAGTAAAGTCTCTCCTTCCTGGCTTTGACTTTGCTTCTCCTCCTCCTCACTCGCTTGATTGTTTGTGCGCGTACTTATCTTTTCCTCTGCTGCCTAAGATCCGCTGCCGCAGATGAAGTTATACACCACCAGCGTGACGCCGAACTGTGGACTCGTTCGCAGCACACGCGCGAGGCTCCCTTTGAACAGCGCTCTTGGACCCTCTGCCACCCATACGCTCTTGAGGCAAGCCAGCGCGTTCTCGTGCGGGATCTGGCCGTCGGGAAGTTCCATCTATAAGAAGAACATTTTGTTAGCGGGAAGATCGGGTATGGCGAAGTTTGTGGACTTACTTGTAGCCTCGTCTTGACGACGTCCATTGGAGTGGAGAGAACTGTCGCAGGAATGGCTGCTAGGAATCCGTCGGCAAATCCTTGGTCCGGGTAGAGCTGGCAGAGGATAGCGTAGCACGCGAAGAAAATGCCCGAGCTTGGGATGTCTCTGGCCAGCGTCACCCCTGCGCCGTGGTACAGCCCCCGGAAGCCCAGCTCCTTGATTACTTCGCAGAAACCACGCTTGTTGGACGTTGTCTGGGTTTGGAGCCGGACTTTGACGATCTCCATCGGGTTTGTGAAGACCACCTGAGAGAAGCCTCCACCGCTCCCGGCAATGAGCTCGAGAAACCACAGTCCAGTGCCAGGCATTACGTGCTCCAGCAGCTCTAGCAGGAGCTCGTTTACTGTCAGCTTTACAGCCTGAGGCAAGTAGGAAAAAAAAGAGAATGTTTAGACTTTGGAATAGAAAAAGCTTATGCTATACCTTCTCCGGAGCTATTCCAACGAGCTGGGGCAGCAATCCGCTGTACAGTGACCCCATTCCCTCGTCAGCTACGAGTTTTCTAAAGCAATCTATCTCGTTCTTGTATTTACATTCTTCGTCATTGTTCTGGAAAACACAAAGTTAAAAGTTAGAAATGAAAACGAAGGATTTTTTTTTTTTTTCTCTTACCTGTGCTTGCATGCGAGTTTTTATCGTGTCGAGCGGATACACCAAGGCCGCTCCAATCGCCCCGGCAACACCGCCGCCACCAAAGTGCTGCAATATCCTCGCAAGAAGCCTGGAGCTGGATGACACCACCACCGGGTTTATGACCGGCACCGCCTTGGGCCTCGCCACTGCTTGTACAACCTTGTTCGTCACTGGGACGATCGAGACTTCCGGAGCATTGAGCGCTACTGATACCTCCAAAGAACGATCCAAATTCCTCGCTCCATCCAACACTAAATCCCGTGCTACCTCTGCTTGCTTGGCTGGAGACACCCGGTCGATCTCCAGCGCCGAGGGAGACGAACTAGGCAAGGAGAGCGAGAAAACCACTGCGGCTGTCACCACTCCCGGCTTCCAATCCATCATCCACAATTCCTCGCGACTTCCTTCACCGACGTCTCGACGCTCTACGTGAAAATTCCTCATCCCCTGTTGTTGCTGGCTATCTAGACATACCTCTCGACCTTCTACGTGAAAATTTCTCCTCCGCAGCCTTGGAAGCTTGGATTTTAGCTCTGGACCAAGAAATGCCCTCGATCTTGGCGCTCGGACAGGAAGCTGTTGCATCGGCCGAGTATCGCAGCACAAGCACTCCATCGCACCGATCAGGAAATCCACAGAGATCTTCGCCCTGGCCCTATCTGTAAGCCAATGCTTTGCAAAATGCCTACCACGCGAACGCCAAGAGCACGGGAGCTCCCAAATGCGCCACAAGAACAGTAGATTCGCCGCCAAGTGATCCACACACCCGTGACCGCCGTGACCGACTTCGCTCGCTCGCTAAAACCCTAATCCAAAGCAACGGAAATATCTGTCCTAAAGCAACGAATATCCATCCATTGCCGGACACGAGATGCTTCCTTTCGGAGAGAGCGACCGAAGCAGCGTGCTACAAAACGACTCGTGGATTTGGGGAGTTTTGGATTGGTCCAAACAGAGCCAGCTAGCTTTCGTGTGATAAATGTGGGGAGTGTTCTTCCTTCCTCTGGATTTCTCGTCGTGTTCTTCGTCGCCGCTCGCAAAGATCTGTGGTTGCTTCGGCCAGGCGTCGTCGATCGTGATCCGACTGGCTTACGTTCTCGACGCGGTGATCTGCTGCTGCTTCTGCTGCTTCCTCTGCGAGGCCCGGTTGGACCACCCCAAGTCTTCTTAACATCTGCATTGGCTTGCTCATAAGCTCTTAGATCATCCAAAGTTCTCTCGGAGGAACTCGAGGAGATGGTTCGCCAGGACCAAATCGCGAGAGCGCTCTCACTCTTTTCCCTCCTCGCCCTCACCATCTTCTACGTGATCACCATCGCGCTCGCGAGCTGGGCGCTCAACCGCGCGTTCAAGGAGTCCACGCCCGGCTCGCCGGTACTAGGATCGACCCATGGTAAAACTTGTGATCGCGTTGACAAAAGTTGACTTTCGTTGTCTTTTACATACAGGGAATGCGGCGACTCCATTCCTTGCGTTGACCACGCTGATCTCCGGGGTCGTCGGAATGGCGGCGGTGATACTCGGGCTCCAACACGTGGCATCGTGGAAGGCCAAGACGCTAATCGCCGCCAACGCAGCCACCATTATCGCCTGGGCTCTCTCGCTACTGGCTATGGGGTAAGATACCCGGTATTACTATTACCATCACCATTACCATCTTGTTTTACAGGCTTGCCTGCCGCGAGGTTGGGCTTGGAGGGCGGAGGGACGGTAACCTGGTAAGAAGCTTGTGGTAATGGTCATGGTAACTTTTGGGCATTTTTACAGCGGAGCTTGGAGGGGTTTGTGATATTCCTGCCCTGGGTCCTGCTCGTACAAATGGTGACGTGGCAGGCGGCCATGGTTGTCCAGCGAGTGGAGCACGCACCCCCGACGACCCCACGAATGACTGTGTGATTGGATAATTTATTGGCAAGAAATTGTGTGTGATCTAATCCGGGAAATATGACATTCGATAATGCTGCTCCACACATTTTTGTGTTCTCATGTGTCGTCCTATCACTCGATCGAGAGACGTTGCGGTCGATTGATCCAGTTCTTGGGAAATCGATAGCAAATCGATCGATATAGCTCAAGTTTCCGGGAAACGATTGCTCTGGTTGGATTGAATCGCGATGGAGAAGCAGAGGGAGCAAGATTTCCTGGACCGGCTGGTGATCTTCCTGGCCAAGCGCGATGGCATCGACAAGCTGGTCAAGACGCTCCAGTACACCGGTAAGCTCTCGCACTGGCATCTCTCGCGGCGGAGCAAGCGATCAAGCGTCCCCAATCTCGCCACTCGCGCCAAGGCGCTCGAGGTCTCGTGCGGCCTCGCGCGCAAGGCCTTCCGCCTCGGCCGCTGGCTCTCGGGCCTCAACAATCTCCGCGCGCCAGCGCCCAATCTCCCCTTCCTCGCGCTCGCCATCCTCGCCAACGCCGGGGAGATGGTCTACTTCTTCTTCGACCACTTCACCTGGCTCTCGCGGATTGGCGTGCTCGATCCCAGCCTCGCCCCGCGCTTCTCCCTCGTCTCGGCATCCGGGGAGGCGTTCGGCTACGTCTTCTTCGTGATCGCCGACGCCATTCTCATCGCGCAGGGCGTCCGGGAGGAGCGGAGGCTCGCGCTGGAGCTGCAGGCGATGGTGAGGAGCCGGGACACGAAGCTGGGCGATGAATCGAGCAAGCTGGGCGGGCAGATCCAGGCCAAGAGGGTTGCGATCGCGGCAATCCGGGTGAAGAGAGTGATGTCGGCCATGGCGATCGCTGCTAACGTCGCGGATTTCGTGATCGCGCTCGCGGACATCGAGCCCAATCCGTTTGTGACCCATGCCGTGACGCTGGGGATCAGTGGATTGGTCTCAGCGTGGGCGGGATGGTATCGAAACTGGCCATCGTCTTAGTTGCATTTTTGGAGATGCCAAAGGGATCTAAAGTTGATCCGATACACTATCTGTCCACGTGTCATACGCCCACGTTTCCCACGCAGGACAAACTGTGACCGTCCGATCATCAGTTTTAGGGTTCCTCCTCCTGTGGCATGGCGCAGCACTGCATGATGGCGATTGCTTGATCCCTGCGCTCCAAGAGCGCGGCGATGCAGCGCGGTGGGCTACACATCTTCCGCTGAGTGGGAATTCCTCTTCACTTGGATCTCTCTACCGGCATTTTAGATCCGAGGGTGGGCAGCAGCATGGATTCGCCCAAGCGCGGCAGCAATCAGCACCAACAGCGCAAGCTCCCGCTCCTCCCGCTCGTCTTCCTGATCTTCTATGAGGTCTCCGGCGGCCCCTTCGGCGTGGAGGACGCGGTGGGCGCGGGTGGGGCGCTGCTCACGCTGCTGGGATTCATCGTCATGCCCTTTCTATGGAGCATCCCCGAGGCGGTGATCACCGCGGAGCTCGCCACGGCCTTTCCCGACAACGGCGGCTACGTGCTGTGGATCCAGGCGGCCTTCGGCCCCTTCTGGGGATTCCAGGAGGGATGGTGGAAGTGGCTGTCGGGAGTGATCGACAACGCGCTCTATCCGGTGATGTTCCTCGACTACCTCAAGTGGGCGATCCCCAGCGTCGCCGGCGGCGTCGTGCGTTTGATCTCGCTGCTGGTCATCACAGCCGCGCTCACCATCGTCAACTATCGCGGGCTCACGATCGTGGGCTACACCGCGGTGGCGCTGGGGATCTTCTCGCTGCTGCCGTTCGTGGTGCTCTTCTTCCTCGCGATCCCATCGCTGGAGCCGGCGCGCTGGCTGGAGGTGGATCTCCGCGACACCAACTGGACGCTCTACCTCAACACGCTCTTCTGGAATCTAAACTACTGGGACTCGGTGAGTACGCTGGTGGGCGAGGTGGATCGGCCGCACGAGACGGTGCCGCGGGCGCTAGCGGCGGCGCTGGTCCTGGTGGTGGCGTCGTATCTCCTGCCGCTCCTGGCGGGCACCGGGGCGGCGCCGCCGGGCGACCGCAAGCTCTGGGCCGACGGCTACTTCGCGCACATCGCGCTCAAGATCGGCGGCGGCTGGCTCAAGTGGTGGGTGGAGCTGGCGGCGCTGCTGTCCAACGCCGGGATGTTCGAGGCGGAGATGAGTAGCGACTCTTTCCAGCTGCTCGGGATGGCGGAGAGGGGCATCTTGCCCGCGGCGTTTGCGCGGAGGTCGAGGTATGGGACGCCGGTGCTGGGGATCTTGTTCTCGGCCACCGGGGTCATCCTCCTCTCGTGGCTCAACTTCCAGGAGATCATCGAGATCCTAAACTTCCTCTACTGCTGCGGGATGCTGCTCGAGTTTGCGGCGTTCGTGTGGCTGCGGATCAAGCAGCCGAATCTCGTCCGGCCTTACAAAGTTCCGCTGGGGACGATCGGGGTGACGGTGATGTGCCTGGTGCCGTCGGTGCTGCTGGTGGTGGTGATGTGCATCGCGTCGGCCAAGACGGTGGTGCTCAGCGTGGTGTTCTCGCTGGTGGGATTTGCGGTGTACCCGGCGATCCAGCTCGCCAAAAAAAAAAGCTGGCTAAGTTTCATTGACGCGCCGGATCCCATCGCGCTCAACAAGGAGAAGATCCCGGCGCTGGCGGAGGAGCGCATTGTGCACGCGCGGGAAGCTGGGGATGAACAGACCCAGCTCTTGTGCTCATAGAAGTTTTTTAAATCCTACTTCGCAAAGAATCAACTAACCAAATGATGGTAAAGGATAAATGCTCCACAAATATTTTCAACCCATTGGTCAAATGCGGCCAAGAATTAAAACTTAATACAAATGCAATGCTTTGTGGCTGGGAAGAGGCTTGATTTGAGATGAAAAGCTTGTTGCTCCTGTTGCTATGGACGTTCTTGTGTGTGCCCATTAATGAAAAGGGTGGCCAGGGTGTACTCAACCTCGAGCAGGTCCTGGCCATGGAGTTCCACATCCGCTACTTCCTCATCACTCAGCTCCAACCTGATAGATTCTATTATCCACGGACATGGTCCACAACACTCCGAATTGATCATGACCTTTTTGCATTGTAAGGCTGATGCTCTTTAGCCAAGTATCAGATGAAAGTTGCAGCCTTGCACCCTCCCCAATGCGGGTCCAAATCTTAGAGAAGCTTTCAATGCCCTAGTTGATCGAGTCTCAGCACTAGCTAGTATGCATGGCTATAATCATGTAATGGCCACCTTAGGACTTGTAAGCATTGACTACCCGACTCTCTTCACAGCTCTGCCACCAGGTCAGCTTGCAATGCACAGATATCCTTTTTGAGGCTGTTTCCAACACAACACCAACTCTCCAAAATGACTGTTATGCCTTTAACTCTACAATGGTGAGTTGAGAGTGAGGAGTGTTTGGATCCGACCTCTACAGTGGCTCTCATCTTGTATCTCTCGAGCTTGTTTTGAAATATGACTGTAACTTGGTAATATTAGCAAGGGGATGGAAGGAGCTTTGGTCGAGTTCCACACCTGGAAAAGGAGTTAAATGTGTACTCACTCAAATGGATGGGAACTTGGTGCTCATAGGAGGAGATGGAGGTGGTATCTTTACATCAAACATTTACTACCAACCACGGATTTTTGGAATCAATTGGGTGCTTGAAAATAGTAGATCCATCATGATTTACCATGCTTTGGGGCCATGCTTCTCTTGTGGCAACAGCTATAATTGTCTCACCTGGTCTTAAACTCCAGTAGGGAGTGTGGAGGACACCCAAGGTTTGCCCAATACTCCAAGAAATAAATTTATTAAGTTTCATGCCATGCAAACTTAAATACTAATATTAACCTTTTTCATGGTTACAATGAAGGAGAGCCACTCAACAAGATCCACAGGAAAGATGAAACCAATGTCAATTAGCTTGCTTGACAGGGTGAAAATAGAAGTTGTCACAATGGTGTGGACAATAATGTTCGGAAAGACTCCTTGAGTAGTCCCATGTGAAAATGTCTATGAGATCCTTAAGTGGTTTCCCATCCTTAGCTTCAACACCTTGCCCACAAACAAAAGGTTTGGCTAGCCACTCTTAGTAACCAAATCAAGAGGGATGGTTTCCAACTCAGCCTAGAAAACATCCATTTTCAACTAGATCAAATTTACCATCACCTCTCAATCGAGTGGATGGTCTGGCAACACATCCTCTAAGATAGAGTTCCACAACCCTTGCTTTGCTAAGCATATGTGATGCCATATGAAGAACAAGCTCAATGGTCCAAGATGTCAATTGAGATAGGAGTTGATACATGAAGTAGAATGTCAAGAGCTTGAACTTCCTAACGAACTGTTTGCAAAGTAGTAGAGAATCTGACCACATGTGGAGATGCTTGACAACTCCCTTGTACTTACACTCATTTGGTGAAGTTGCCATAACTATTTGCGAGAATGATTAAATAAACTTGCCATCACCACACTAAGTCCACTGACAAACAAAAAAAATGCTCCAAAATAATTTCTTATATTTTATTGAGTATATTGACCTCGAACACCCGGTTGTTGACATTCCCATTCATAGTCAACCCATTGTTCTTAATAGTCAAAGTTCGAAATGACCATTAGTCAATGCAGCCAAGAATCCCAATGATTAAGAGCCCCTGTTGGAAATGCAATATTTGAAAACTGAAGCTCAACTTGAGGCAAGAAACATGTTGGTGCTGCTCTTGTTTCTGTGGACAATCTTTTGTCCTTCTAGCTGCTTATGTGTGCGCTTCGATGTCGCAACTGGCTTGGGCATACTCAACCTCCACCAGGTCATTACCATGCAGGTCCGTATTCGCTACTTCCTCATCAATGAGATCCAACCGGACAGATTTTATGGTCCACAGACATGGTCAACAACACTCCAAATCGATCACAACGTCTACTGTATTGTAGGTCTGACACTCTTCAGCCAAGCAGCAGATGGAAGTTGCAACCTTGCACCCTCCCCAATGATGACTCAGGGGTCCCATCTCAGAGCAGCTTTCAATTTCCTAGTTGATCAAGCTGGAGGACTAGCTCAAATGTATGGCTATAGCCACATAATAGCCACCTCAGGACGTGTAAGCATTAACTACTTAACTATCTACACAACTCAGCCGCAAGGTCATCTTGCATCGCATAGTCAACCTTTTGAGGATGTTTACAATCTTTCCCAACTCAATTCAACTCTCAACTCTACTAGAGATCTGTATGACCAAAATGACTGCTATCCCTTTCGCTCTGGAATGATGAGCGGAGAGCGAGGAGAGCTTGGATCCGACCTCTACAGTGGCTCTCGTCTTGTGTCTCCCAACGGCTTCTACGAGCTTGTTTTGGAATACAACTGTAACTTGGTGCTATTAGCGAGGGGATGGAAGGAGCTTTGGTCGAGTTCTACGGCTGGAAAAGGAGTTGGATGTGTACTCACTCTCCAAAGGGATGGGAACTTGGTGCTCGTAGGAGGAGATGGCAGAGGTATCTTTGCATCAAACATTTACTGCCAACCACAGCCTCACTGCATACTTGGAACCAATTTGGTGCTTGAAAATAGTGGATCTATCTCCATCTATCGTGCCTCTGAGCCCATGCTTCTCTTGTGGCGACGGCCATAAGAGATCAATTTGGAATTCTGGTCTTAAACATAACATTCAAACTAGTTATACCATCGAAAAAACTGCACGCACTGCTATAGGCTATAGGCTATCAGGAGAAGATGGACGTTTGGGAAAGAGTCATAGAATCACGATTTCCAGTTTTGCTGCTTTGCATGTTCTTCTTACCACGTTCTGGAGCTCTTGTTCACAGGTTTACAATTAGTACCGCACTGCTATGATATTCAAAGGCACTCGTGAAAAACAAGAAACGACTTTGACCATCTCCCACTTTGTGCCGAAAGTCATTAGTTTTTCAATTTTTATTTTTTATTTTTTATGGCCATGGAAAGCCCTTTTCTAGTTGCATTAGGGAAATCTACAATGAACTTCACGATGTTGTGGAGAATGCCTGAGTATGCGTTTTGCTCCCTCGTTTTCCAACTTCCTGTGGAAGTAGATAACGACGTTCCGAGCTCGTGATCTATATTTCATAGAGAAGTACACAGAAAGCCGCAGTAAAATATCCCGGCATTGCAAGGTCGGGGAAAACTCGAGCAAAACTTGCTTCGCTTATTGACTGCCTCGTCGTGGTTGGATGATCAGACTGTTGCTTGCTGGTTGCAGCATCCAGCGCGGTGCTCGATACGCGGCCAAAGATCTTTCACAGTTGGCCGTGGCTTTCCAGTACGCGAGTAGAAACCGTACAAGATCAGTTGAATCACCGCCAGGCAAGCCCCAACAAGATTTGGCACCTAGAGAGTGACCAGATTTTCAATGAATTGAGCTCCAAATAAGAAACGAGTCGAGCAATGCCTACCACAATGTAGTAGTCGTGTGGTTGTCCCAGGAATCCATACGCAGTCCAGGTAGCTCCATTGAAAAGCCCGGCCACGAGCGGCAGGAGGGGCATGTATTGGACGCTCTTGGTAGAAATCACTGTTCTCTGGACGAAACAAATCGAAGTAAAGTTGATGGAACTCGATCAAAGTCCAGACTTACCATGATGGAAAGAGGAGAAGCATACATTGCAATGGTGACTACAGCGCAGCAAATCCCAGCAAACTTCTGGCGTGTGTGATGGTCCTTGGAAGCCATGAAAACAGCCAAAAAAATCCCCAAGTAAACCGTCAAGACGATGCTGATCATCCCGGCTACTCTGGCCTGTAAATAATAACAAGCAAAGTAACTACGATAGAAAACTTTCACATGAACTCTTCCCTACCTTCTCGATTCTCTTGGAGGCGTAGAAGAGGAAGATCCCCAGATAGACGCTCTCGATCACACAGCCGATTGTATTGATCGTGATCACGAGGACGCTGTTGGAAGTAACGAAGGGAAGGCCGTAGAGCACCCAGAGCAAGCAGTTGAAGAGCGTCGCGACGTAAGGGGCTCCCGAGAAGTCGCCCGTGGTGTGGTTCTTGACGATACTCCGGAAGGTTGGCCTGTCAAGCACACGTCAGAGCCCGTCAAAGCCTCGTCAATGCCAGCCATAGCCAAAACCCCAGGGGCCAGGGATCAAGAAAGCGAGGATCTTACGCAGGGGACAGGAAGAGGCCGAAAGCGATCACATTTCCTGCGGGGAGCGCTCTCCACAATCAGGATCGGCGAGATCGAGAGAGAAAGAGGAAATCGGGAGAAAGAAGAAAGATTACCGATGATCCCCATGACAGTGCGAATTGCGCCGGCGGGCGCCATATTTTCTCCTCCGGACACGCGATCGATCGAGCGAGCGCCTACATTTGCCGCCGCGAGCTCCCCCGCCGAGAAAGAAACGTTCTTTTGTTCTTCGTGGTAGGGGTTTAACGCGCCAGATCGCCACCGTTAGATCTTTGGCCGTTGGATGTGGAGCGCGGGCAAAGTTTTAGGGCTAGCGATGGCGATGGCGACACGATCTTCTTCTTTCTCGATCTAACCCTCTTTCGAGCGCCAGGATTCATCGAATCCGGATTTCCGGGCGATGGCCTGTCAATGGAGAGCTTCCGGACTCCACATTGTGATACAGTGGCGAGCTGTGGCTTCTTTCGAGGTAATAATCTCGCGCTCTTTGGACTTGGAAGATAGAATTTGTAGGAAGTCCAGCTCCACGGCGACGAAGTGACCACTTTCTGGTGTGCCTTCTCGAAATTTTTGCTCTCTTTCCTTTCTAAGGTTTTTGTTTAAGTGGATCTTAGTTTCTCAAGACCAGGATGAAGCTGAATTTGCGAAGCTTATATATGGCTGATGGCAATGCTACGGCCGAGCTCCTCCAAGTTTCCACATTGCTTCAGCAAGCCATCGCATCAGCTTCTTCTGAAAAGGTCGGTGAGTAGTTTTTCTCTTTTCTTTTTCTTTGTTTGTTTGTTGTGATGCGGGCATTGGGTTATGCAGTTGCCAGAGACAACACTCTTCAAACGGGTGAAAGCTGCTCGATCACTGGTTCTGGATCAAGGCTGGAGCAACGGTATACGACGATTTGGCCACAGAATGCACCTTCAGGTAGATATAAACCTGTGCTTTTGCTTTTGTAACTTTTAGTATTGATGCTGCGACAGGAGAACGACTTCGACAAACACTGACACTGAGCAGATTGAGAATTTGGTTAGAGAGGGTACATTTAGTTTGCTGCAAACAGTTTCTTCGATTGAGCAGCAACAGCATAGCTGCGAAAAGGATGAAAAATGTTTTGAGTATATAACACACGAGAAATGAAAAGTGGAGCTGGACCGATGTAAGAAGCGCCTCTCAGTGCTTTAAACAGTTTTCAATCACATTGAAACCGTGGAGAACTCTTTAGGCCATCATCCTTTGATGAGTAAAAAGTGCTCCAAAGTGAGCTGTGCAGCCTTTTGGTGTTTGAAACGACTCTTAAGGGCACACTCAACCTTGAGCAAATCTAGTGAGTCCAATTAATTAGAAGTAATAATGATATATTCATTGCTAATAGTCAAGTTTGGAAAATGTTTTATTAGATCAAATGTTATTAATTTAAATGGACAGGAAATTGCAATTGACTCTAACCATTATTTCATAACATGAAAGGGAGTAATATGAATTTAGCACCAAATATATTTATACATATATTGGATAACTTTATATTACATTTTCAGCTAATAAAAAAACTTGTGCAACTTTTCAATCATACTATGATGTCCCATATGTCTGCGTAAAATAAATGAATCATGGTAAGTATAGAGAAAGCATGGAACAAAAATTGAAAAGCACCACCAGCCATAAATGATCATTAAGATTCATCTCTACAAAATAAAGAAAATCATTCTCAAGATGATATTAAGAATGTAAATACTAAATGGCAAATTATTAACAAATGATACAAGATTTTCAAATCTATCACGCTATAGCAACCACTGACCCTATAGAAACCTTGTCCAAAAAATCTATAAATGTTGAAACAAACTTGTCAAAAACATAAAAAGAAAGTGAAAGAGGAAGAGGAACTTAAGAAAGAACATTAACATTAATTATAAAACTCTTTAAATGATTAACAGAATCAAAATTATATATTTGATTTAAAACCAACTAAACAGTACAACCAACTAAATTATTCCACTTTAATAATAAAATAAATGCAATATGATCACCTTTTAGTAATGTCCAAGAATTATATAGATATGCATAAAGTTTCTAAATACTCTAAATTGTTGCTAAACACTCATTCTCTATCATGGAATAATTCACCTTTATTGATTGTAATGTACAGTTGATATATGTAATGGGATGGCATTGATTAAGCATTGGGCTCTTTTATATTAACACACCTCTAAAACTGATATCAAAAGTATTCACATGCAAAATAAAAATCAAGTGTAGTTAGGATATGCTAAAATTAGAAGAATTGTTAACAACTCTTTGAGATCTATAAATGCCCACTCACAATCTATAGATCAAAGGAAAGACAATGTTAATAATTTCAATAATGCTCGCAATGGTGCAATATAATTAGAAAGATAGTTAATGAAACGACTGAGATATTGCAAATTGCCTAAGTAGCACTACACATCATTCACATATTTTGGAGTAGGGAAATTGAGAATATCCATAAATTTTTCAGAATCACATGAGAAATACAGTACTAAGATAAATGGTGTTTTTAGACTCAAACATGCACTTTGATCTCTTCAACTTTAAACTAATTTCTCGTAGCTGATCCAATATTTTACAAATATCACAAATGTATTCCTCCTATGTCCTCTCCAAGTGGATTAAGACATCATTAATGAAATTAATAGTCATCTCTAACATATTGCAAAGAACCTTGTTTATCATTTGTTAGAAAGTTGCTGAAGCATTGTTTAAACCAAATGGCATCACCAAGAACTTATATAAACTAAATAGTGTACGAAAAACAATCTGGGGAAAATCTTTTTTAGCTATTAGCTCTTGTTGACACATTAAAGCAAAATTTAACATAGTGAATCAATAATGTTTTTATAGACAATCTAGAAGATTAACAATGTGAGGAAGGGTACACATTCGAGATTATCACTTCATTTAACAAATAATAATTGATATAAAAACAAATACTCTTATTACACTTCGTCGTAAGATAAAGTTCACATGCTTAAAAACTCTGTAACTTTTGAATAACACTTTTTTTTAACATTTCTTTGATATTTATATATAAAACCTTGATCTCTTTTGATGACCGACAATGAACAAAAACCTTCATTAGATAAACATTTCTAGTTAGAATAGAATTATGTGATTTACAAAATTATGCATACAATCATGCAAATTACGTAATATCATTTATAGAATCATGCAAATTTGTCTTATCTAATTGAAAGAGTAGGTTAATAGTCATATGAAATGATGTTGTATGGATTTTTAAGCTTGTTTATTT